CCCCGCCAGTTCCACCAGGAGTGACCGCTACAGACTGGCTGTGATCTGTGAGTGGCCCCCGTCCCACCCAGTGCTTCCGTCACACATTCCACTGTCAAGGGCCATCATATGTCACCAGCCATGAGCATGGGGTAGATGCCAGAGCTTGGAGAGAATGTGGTTGACTACCCAGAAATTAGGGGCCTTGATGTCACCTTGGTTCTGATCTGTACCCGAGGCTAGGCCTGGGCTAGACAGTCTGTGAGGGCTGCCCGCTGACACTGTCCTGAGATGGAAGGAAGAAAAGAGGAAGAGCCCTTAACAGGAACAAGAGCCGGGTGTGGCCCAGCTCCATGTGGAGAGGGTCAGGCTAGCGGACACGCAGGGTGTCAGACCAAACGTGAGGAAATTGCCAGAAGCAGAGTCGGGAGGACATGGTGACAACGTGACAAACTGCACTGGGACATGATGCCATTTCCTTCCACCCTGTGTGGCCCCTGCAGGGCCCAGCTGGTTCCCTGAAGACCTGACCTTCAGCCCTTTCTCTTCTCTTTCAGCAGAAGAGAGGACCCCAGGCCTCCCTGTGGGGGCCGTCGCTGGCATCGTGACTGGGGTCCTGGTCGGGGTGGCTCTGGTGGCCGCTCTGGGGTGTTTCCTGCTCCACACAAGAACTGGAAGGTACCCAGGCTTCCCCCACCTGATCCCACCCAGGTGACCCCAGGCCTGAGGGAAGGAGGCCCGTCCTCAGACTCTGGCCTGACTCTGACCTCCGAATCTCACGAGGACTCTTCCCACTCATTCTGCCTCACCAGCTGCTGACCCTGGGCTGGTGCCACAACAGCTTCCTCTGTGCACATTGGTCACTAGGGATCTGTCCCCAGAGCACTGTCCTCCTTCCCTCACACAGAACACATCCTGAGACAGATTAGTGTTCAAAAACAGCACCCTGCAGTTTATTTCACCCACACCAATTGAGGGGCGAAGCTCTGTAACTGAGGGGTGGTCCTGTCCCAGGTCACTCTGCATAAGCTGGTGGGGTCAGCTCCCCACATCTTCTTGGTTACCCGTGGCCCCTGATATGGAGGTGGGAGTTCTGGGGCCCAGCCAGGATAGTGTGTCCTAGAATATCCTTTGCTTCCTGGCCAGGTGAGTGGAGAGAGGTCAAGGCCACTGTCATATTTCAAAATCTCCTGGCCTGAGCAAATGGCCTGGCTACAGCAGGATCACCAAGGTCAGAGAGGGTCAAGATACAAACTGCTCCCACAATGTCCTACCCACTTGGTGACCCTGATTCTTGCCCAGGGCATGGACCCTTTTACTCAGTCAAACCCTCCTGCTTTAATTGGTCCTGATTCTTTAGACCCTTTTCTGGGTCCCTTAGGCAAGGTTCCCCTGGGTCTGCAACTCAGAGGGGCCTTCACCTCTGGCCCAGGGCAGAAGTGGCTTCTTAAGGCCTTTCGTCCCCTCCCCTCCCTGGGCCCCCTGGTACACAGACCTGATGGGGAGAGGAAGGTTTCACACCCTCCTTGGAAATGGGGTACCCTCCTCATCCCCTATCTGACCCCAGTCCATGACCTCTCCTGCACCCTCATGATTAACCCTGACCTTTCCTAGGGCCGTGTCCAGCAAGGCCTCAGAGACCCCTGCACCCCAGCATCACCACATGGTGAGTGCCCCCTCCCCTAGGCCTGTCCCACAGTGTCCACTCTTGCAGTCAAACACCTCTCCAGGATAGGGATCTTTCCCTGGGGCTTCAAGGAGCCCTGTCATCAAACACTCAAGGCAGCGGACCCATCTGGCCAGTTCAGCCCAGACCTGTGGCATCTGGTCACCTTCTCAGGTTCCTTGGCTCCCTGGGACTCTAAAAGGGCTACAGGGTCTCTCTCAGGACAGGTTGACTGCCCTGTCACTCTGTCAGCTGAGGACTCCCAGCTGAGAGGCTCCTGTTCCCAGGCCCCTCCCTCCCCTGCTCACCACCCACTGATCCTGTTTTGGCTGCTGCTTTGAGCAGGGGAGGGAGGGGACTGGGAACAGGAGCCTCTAAAGGCAGGGGCCCAGCCCTCCTCACACCCTCCTGCTAACTCTTGTCTCTGCCCCCAGGCCAAGGTCCCTCTTACAGCTCCATCTTCCTGGTAAGTCCCCCCACCTTCCTCCACACAGGGGACCCACCTAAGCAGGCTCAGGGCAGGGTCACTGTCAACCCCTACACAGCACAGACACCCCCTTTCATGTGGGACCAGGACAAGGTTAGCCTGACTCTTGCCAGAGGCTTGGCCACTCTCAGGGACAAGATCACTGTCCCTCTGTCCTCAGTCCATCCTGCTTTTCTCCATGTGTTTCAGTGAGCCCTGGAGGCCAGAAAGTGCATAGTGGGTGCAGGGAGCTTCTATCAGTGGTCCTGGGTTAATGATGGGGGTCGAGAATCTGGGCGGAAACTGGGGTGTCTGTCCAGAAGTGGAGGCTGATGCTCAGGACCCAGAGCTGGTACCTCCTGAGAAGAAAGGAATAAGGCAGACACAGGGAAGTAAAAACTGGCCTGTCAGTGAGCACCGCCCAGCACCTGCTCACTGGATTCTTAGCCTTGTTGACCCTCCCTTGCTGACCCTGATGTCCACTCTCCTTCTCTTGTCCAGTCCCCTGTCCCTGGCCACAAATCTGCAGTTCCCATCTACCAGGTGAGTGTGGGTGATGAACATCCTGGCCCACAGTCCAGGAGGGACCTAGGAGCTGCCCCTCTCCACATCTTCCTGAGCTTTCCAAAAGCAGCAGCCAAAACAGGATCTGGGTAGTGGCAGGGGAGGGAGGGGCCTGGGAACAGGAGCCTCTCAGCTCAGGCAGGCACAGGCACAGAGCAGTCCCAGGGGGGCCAGAGTCAAGGTGTCCCTGGTCCTTGTTCTAAGAAGGCCACAGAATCAGAGTCCTCTTTGTGTGTGTGTTTTTTTTTCTTCAGGAATTACGAAACCCTAACGTGGACATCTATTGTCGTATTGACCACAAAGCTCACGTGGCTTCATAGTTGCCACCAGACAATGCTCCATATGGGCTGAGGGAGGGTTCCACCTGGACCCTGGGAGATGGAGCAGAGGTGGAACCTGAACCCTGGGAGACTCTTACACATGGGGTCCCTGGGTTCCTGGAGATCTAGAAAGGCTGTCTGGGCTCTCAATGGCCAGAATCAGGCTGCCTGTGCCCAGGACAGGGGCTCCAGGGAGAGGGAAGCTCCCCTGTGGGTCACCTGGAAAGGCGCTGAATAAAGACCCCCTCCCTCCTTCGCTCTTTTGGTTCCTGTGGGAACGTCTCTTGGCAGACACCCCCCTCAGGGTCCAGGTCAGCTCTCTCCTGTGTCACGCAGGGGAATCGTGGTCTCTAAGTTGTTCCCACAGGTTTCTCTTTCTGGGAGACAGGAGCTGGGAGGTGGGACCAGGGCAAAGGTCGTGTCTGTCCACAGGGAAGGGTGAGGGTCCCCAGGCCCTGCAGCCAGCAGAGCACTCAGTGGCCCTCACGCTCCAGGGACCCAGGGTGGCTGGCTGTGGCCAAGATTTCTTCTCCACCCAAAGCCCAGTACTCAGCACATCTTCACCTCTGCTGGGACAGGGACAGAGACTGTCAGAGTAATGAGGGGACAGGGCCAGATCCAGACTCATGCCCTGAACAAGGGCCTCAGGCCCTGCCCGAGGCTCCAGCCCTGCCCTCCCATCACCTTCCACTCTGCCCTGCCTGGTCTCTCTGGGACCAGCCTCCTCTCCACACTCCTGCACCCAGGGCAGAGGCTCAGGGCTCCCCACATGGGGCTCTGCAGGCTCCATGGTGATGGGACAGAGGGTCTCCTCCCTGACCAGGATGTGCTCTACAGCCTCCTCGATACACCTGGCCACGGCTCTGCCTCCTTCCCTGAAGGCTGGGCAGGGGACATTCTCAGGTAGGCTCATGTAGATCAGGCCTCTACACTCCTGGAAATTAGAGGTAAATTTAGTAAGGATGAGGGGACACTCTGCTGATGCCTGAGAGTTGTCTGTCCCGAGATGAGACGTAGGAAGTCATCCTCAGAGATTCCGCTGTGACTCAGCTCTAGTGAGGCTCGTCCTGCGTGAACATAGCATCAGGTCACACACGGTGACTTCTCTTTTCTTGGTTTCCTGGTGCAGCTGCCACAGACTGGCTCCCACACAGTGGCTCCGAACAGCAGATACCAAGGTGTCCTGAGCTGCATTCTTCTGGAGGCTCTAGCGGGTGTGCACAGCAACACAAGTCCCCTCAGACTCAGGCCCCTGCTGCATCCTAAAAGCTCGTGGAACCTTTTCCTCCAGGTCCTGCCCTGGGAACCACAGTAGCTGGAGCTCCCCCTGAGCACCGCATCCTGCTCCCTGAGCCGCACACAAGCCCCTGGGCACTGTGTCAAGCCACGCCCTCCAGGCAGTGTCATGCTCAGGCAGTGTCATGTCAGGTCCCACACCCCCCAGGTTGCCCAGTGGAAGGGTCACCTGTGCACTCAGGGGAGCCTCCCTGACGTGGATGGGGTGGATTCCGCTTCACCTTCTGCATCTGAGCAGTCCCCAGGGTGCTCTGTACCCTGTCCCTGTGCCCAGTGTTTCTCCCTGGACACAGCCTCAGACCCTGGCAGGGGCAGATGAGGGGCCGACTCTCCAGCAGTCCTTCCCATTTTCCCCAGGTCAACCTGCTCAGCCCTGAGACCCTCCCTCTACAGGAGCCATGTGCTCTGAGCTCCTGAACACCTGCCCCCACACATGCCAGCTTCAGGTCAGTGACAACCACCAGCTCTGACATCTGTACCCAAGGCAGGTGTCTGAGCAGACTCACCAGGTGGGACAGCTGAGGCCTCAGCAGGCAGGAACACCCTAGTCCCTCTCCTCCCTCCCTGAGGGCAGCGGGCCCCACAGGGTGTCTGTGAAACCAGCCCTTGGTCCAAAACACAGCTTCAGGTCCCTCCTGACCCTCTACAGGGAGAGGCGCTGGGGCAGTGGCAGCCACTAGGAAATTTGACTGTCAAGGAAACACTTGGCCCCATCCCTCCTCATACCTGTGAAAGGACAGACACATACAATACAGCTGGCCTCACCATATGTCCCAGAGGTCATTCCCAGGCAGCTGCAGCCAGAATAGCAATCTTCTTGCTGCTCTCTCCCTGTGACAGCAGGTGATGCTTTTGCATTGTGGCCTGGGGTGCCCTCCACCCCCCCAGGGAACCCAAACCTGCCTGTGCCCCACCTCAGCCACACTCCTCAGCCTCCTGCTCCCCCCCACCTCCCTGACCTGCACAGCGAGGGGACAGCCCTCCTAGACCCCTCCCGGCTCACTGCCAGCCTTGGGTGCTCATCACGGGGTCTGTAGGTGTCACCTGTGCTCAGTTGGACATTTGAGGGACCAGACAGACAGGAAAAGCTTCCCACATGCCTTTGGCTCTCAGGGAAAATAAACAGAAAACAACTCCAACCAAAAGTCAGAAGGCAACAGTGTCCCATGGGTTCCTAACAGTGCACCATTCTGGTTGTGATCTTCAAGGGACACCTCCATGTCCTTCTTTTGAAACCTTAGGACAGTTGGCTCCTCCTGAGGCTGCCCGTCCTTGTTTGCAAAGTTCTCCCAACTCTGAGCAGGAGTCCTCAGGACAACCCCGTCCTGTCCCTAGACTCACCCTGCACTGGGTGTCAGGCTCCCTGGGGACCCAAGGTGAACAGGACCCTTCCTGTATCCTGTAGGTCAGAGCCACCTGAGCCCAGTGTCAGGGCCAAATGTCACCATTTGGACCCTAGGCAGCATCCCTGCTACAGTCCTTCACAATGGCCATGGGTCTCCTCATGACCTTCAGGGGCAACAATGGGCCTCACAGTCACATTCAGCCTTGGGATTCTTTTGAGACAGGAGTGTGGCTTTGGCTGGAGATGGAGGTGGAGATGTCGCCTGATTTTCACCTGGGCACCAACGGCCCTGTGGGCTCCACCTCCATGCCTGCTGTCCCTGATGGAGACAGGCTCTAGTGAACATCCTGATCAGGGAGGAGACCCTCTGTCCCATCACCATGGAGCCTGGAGAGTCCCCTGTGGCTGGGAGAACCCTGCTTGGCCATGGGTCCCTTGTAGTCCCCTCCTACCTCCATCACTCATGGGGAAAAGCAGGGTGACTACAAGAGAACCATCCAGGCAGAGGACAGAGGCCACCCACAGAGGACGTGGGCAGGCCTGAGCCATAGCTCCACCAACAAATGGAGAGAAAAGCTCTCCCCGAACTCTTTCCCCAAGAGCAGCAGAGCCCAGGGTCACTGTCTCCCACTGCCAAACCTGTTCCTAGGACACAGGTCACCTGCCCTTGCACAACCAGGCCTGAAGTTCCCTCTGAGACACTTGCATGTGGGATCTGAGCTAGGCTGGTGACACATAAGATACGTGTCTCCAGCCTAGCTCAGATCCCATGTCCAATTCTACTCTCCAGATCCAAGGTGTCCCCTTCCTGTTGAGAAAAGCCACCTTCCCAGAGCTTTGAGAACAGGGGGAAGATGCAGGGCCAACCTGAGATTCTCCATCATAAAAGGAAACATGCCCAGTTTTGTGGCACCTCAGGGGTTCCCTGTGTGGAGCTGAAAGCCCTGAGGCCAGGACACAGCTGAGGCCAGTGGTGGGGTGAGACCGTTCTCTCAGAGGACGGTGACAAAGCTCTTGTTTACCATGCACAATGCCCTGAGTTCAGTCCTCAGCTCTGGTAGAAACTGAAGGGAATAAATAAAATCAAGTAGTGACTCGATAAGGGACCCTTAGGACAGAGGCATCCCAGTGTTCCCACCCAGGTGGGTGACTGTGAATGAGCAGGCAGCCCTCCAGCTGGCTCTCACTGTGTCCCTCAGGCTCCTCCCCATCCCCAGCACCCAGGACTGACCACATCACCAGAGAAGGCCTGAGACAGAGAGCTCAGAGAGAAATGGACACACGGAAGCCCTGGGCCCTGCTGCTTGCCTTCCAAGGACAAGTCCCTAGGTCATTGTTCAAGAGGGGTTGCCTCTGCCCAGCCTGGCTCTGTGGACTGTGCCAGTGCCCTCCTGCCCTGCCCTGCCCTTCCCTGTCCAGCCCACTCCCTGGGTCCTTCTCCAGGTGCCTCTAGACAAACCTGGTGTGGCTGTGCCCCTGTGAGGTGTGTGGAGGGGCTGAGTCTCTGGGGCATGTGTCTCAGAGCCTCGTCACAAACATCTCTGGTGTCCAGGACTGGAGAGGAAGGACAGGGCTCCAGCTCCTCCATGTGAGACAGGAAGTGCCAATCCTGGGTTCCCATACGTGCTGCATGGGTCCTTCTGGAGGGAGTCAGGCCTGGTCACCTGCAGCAAGACCTGGGCCAGGCCCTCCTGTGTCAGTGCACCCTGGAGTCTGTATCTGGGAAGGCCAATGCTCTGTTTCTGGGGACACCAGGCCCCGATGGGACATTTCCTGCCTGACCTTCAGGACGCAGGCCCCTCAGGCCTCAGTTCTGCATGCACAGAAAGGGTCTTTCTGCCCAGAAATAAAGTATGTCTTTGCTCTTCTCTGACCCCTCCTCCTCCTAGTCTCAATCACTGGATGAATGTCACACATCACAGTCACCACAGAAGCAAGGAGGTCCCATCTCCCCCTCTTCCTATCTCACAGAGCTCTTCCAGATCCTTCTCTGAAAAGACTCACAGGACACTTGGGGGAGATTTTGGC